CACTTCTTTGGCGTCACCTTACTTTGAGCGGTTGTGTCGTCTCTTTAACGTGAATTCCTGGTATAATTCATCAACTAGTATTTTCTTTAGCTGAATTGCATAATAAATTGATATTACGGTAACTCTGAGGTCAAGGAATTTATTTTACTCTGCAGGTAAATATTAATTATAGTTTGCTTAACATGCTAATTGTTAGTAATAAATTGGATATGTTTACTAACTGAGAAAGGTTAAAAATTTATTTAATTGTGACGCCACTTCAAATAACCAAGACTTTTTATTAATTAATTACAACGTTTGTCTTAGTAAATATTTATTTTAATAAACATCTGCTCAAAATCAAAAAACTGTATTTTTAACTACATATTTTGCATTTACATTTAAAAAAAAATTGAACTTATCCACTTGGTCCGTAAAAATAAAATTTATATTACACTAATCTTCCTTATGACATACCTACATACTTATGTTTTGGAACGGAAAACTTACTCAACAATTAAAAATTGCGTATAACAGAAAAATATTGACAAAACAGAAAATTATTAGCGAAATATTACAGAAAATGCGAATGAAAAGGTAACATGTATAACATCCGTTATGCATAGATAAGATCATCGCAGTATATCGTCATTAGAAATGCTAAGTTGCATGAAATTTAGAATTCAAAAAAAAGACTGCATTATGCATTTGAATATTTTCAGTTGAATATTTAATTATGTCTATATAAATTTTAAGTTTCCGATAAGAGTTTTAGACGCACTTTTATTTTCACTTTAATATACATATTTATTACTTAAAAGCATTTTGGAGACGTTAATATGGGATGTAAGATGTCATTATCTGTCAATAAGGAAATCTTTGATTGTATTTTCCATCTGATTTAATATTTGCATTGATTATTGTATGAATTTTTGTTTTCCTTTTGTATTCGAATGAAAAAGAAAAAAGAAAGAGGTTAAAATATGAAAACAAGTTTAATTTTACTCTCCCGAGTTGTAAGAAAATCATTTCGGACTTTTTTTTTTTTAGAAAATATGCTTTCAAATTTTATTAAAAGCGAAAAAAATAATTCAAATACAATTAAAAAGAGGGGGGCGGCAGGAACAGGTTTTTACGTGTAAATCAAACATCAACTTTATTAATTCAGCATTACTTACAATTTTCATATTTAATTCAGATATTTATTTTAATTCAGATTAGGACTGCATAATTTAAGTTGGCAAATTAGTATATAAATAATCGAATACCTTAGTGATAAATGCAATTTCTTCCTTGTAAGACTACAAGCTACCATGCACCTATAAGAATTATTTGTCACTTTTCAATATAGCAGCTGTATCCCGTATTTTACATCCAATTCAGCACGAATTATTGAGTTCAGCTAACAAGTTGTAATTGCTGAATTGCGAAAAATATTATGCAATATTTAATGACATAGTAAATTTATTAGCCACTAATCGAGAATATTACACAATTTCGTTATTTACTTTTTATTTTTTGCAATTTCCTTTGTATAAGGACTTAATATATGCTTATATTATGGCATTTATTTGTTTTTATTTTAAAATTATAGTATTAAATTAAATTATATATTCATACAAACGTATAACATTAACATACATGTATGTATATAATACAGATAATTTTATTAATTGGTAAAATTCACATGCCTACGTTATGTTACAATGTTTGTACATGTGTAGGTTAAAATTAAGTGAAATGTGAAACAAAAAAGTGTTTACTTACTTTGATCTTAAAAAAAATTTAAAATTTTTCGTCTTCAACGAAAAGAATAATACTAATTTGTTTTGACAATTCTATTTAACTTATAACCTGAATGTATAATTATTTTATCAAAGTTGAATAAAATAAATGATATGCTTATGTTAATTAAATTTCGAAAATTGATTTGACGCGATAATTTTAATCTTTAGGTTTCAGGTTTTAAATTCGCATAATATCTACATACATGTACATATGTACAATATAAATAAAATCACAGTTTAGAATGAAATTCTTAGATTTAAATAGCGTAGAACGAGGCGAAAATTTGTTATATTAAAATTTTTATTATTATTAATTTGGAATGTTTGTACTGCATAAGCGACTGTATGAAAAGAGATCAAAACAAACAAAATTTTTTTTTCTGACTTTCTTTTATGAATAAAGATTCTTATAATATGTACATAATATATATAAGAAAGTAAATAAATATAGTATAAATTCTTAAATAACATGTATAAACTTTCATTTATAATACAAGTTACATTCAATAAAATACAAGAGAATAGTTGTGGTTAGGAAAAATATTTAAAAGTGCATCACAAAACAGAAATATGTTAAACAGTTCGAGTCGTAGAGAGGAGAAAAATTCGTCTTATAAGAGAGTATATAAGATAAAGAAACTTGACTGTATACATTTAAAAATCATAATTATCAAATAAAATGTCAATGAAAATTCCGTTATAATATTAGAGATATTCGTAAACGCAATATGTATTGCCGAACAATAATTACCAAATGCAATACTGCAAAAACATAACGTAATATGTCATATATTTAATTTTTTAATTATTATTTTATATAATCTAAACAGTTCATATGATTTTACAGCGCTAATCGCTATATTGCGGCGAAAATTTAGCAATGTTTATGAACACACATACATACATAGTGTAAGTATGAAAAATTTTATTTCCCCGTAATATTAATAAGTTCTCCTAATTGTTATATTACTGTAGCTAATTCAATTAGTTAAAAACTTCAAAATTTATAATGAACTTTTTTCCTTCCTATATAGATTTTAACAATTTTCCATTTTAAATTTAACAATTTTTCCTTATTGAATTCAAATTTATATTATAAATTATAATTTTATTGTATTATATCTTTTCTTTACAATAATAATTAATTCTTGTACATATGTATATAAAATTTTAAAATTGGCCCAAATGCTCAAACTGGTTTTTGTTTTAGTCAAAATGAAGTATGTATAATGATTTCAAGACATTAAAAATCATTTTGATTTGAAAAGCGGAATTTTAAATATTAAAAATCTTCCACAAATATCTATAAAAGATGAATAGATGCGTAAGCAACGAATATCATCGTATACATATAAAATTTTAATTATTTTAACTACAAACAATTACATAATTTTAAAATTAAAAAAAGACCGATGACATTTTTATATTAGGAAATAAAAAATTAAACTTGTTTCAATTTAATTAAACAATTTAAAAAATGCGATAAGTGTTATACTAGATTTAGAGTTAACAAAATGTTTCTCGTGTTTTTCTTTTTAATTTATATATTTATACAGTCTCATTTATATATGAAAGAGTTTATTGTTTTACACATCATTTATGTAAATGCACAATTCAGCAATTATAACACATTAGCTGAATTGAGTGTTAATATATTTTTGAATTAGTTGAATTGAGTTTAATGTAGTTACTTCAGTTTCGAAATCAGTAATAATTACATTTTAATTTTTATATTTCATTAAAAGAGAATGTTGTTCTAACAGTTCAGATTTCATTTGAAATGAATACGAAATTCGAATACAATATATTGTCAAAAAAAATTTTAAATTTCTATTTACACGTGTTAATTTTATGGTGATGAAAATTATTTCTCTCTATAATCAATATTTACGTATGTGTTGTCATTTATGCTCTTTTAAAGAAAAAAAGCTATTAAAAATTAAGAATGGATTCTGGTTTTTTCTTATTTATTCTTTACAAGATGCAAAGAAATGTTTATCAATTCAAAATTTTTACAAGCAGTCAAAGAAAATTATCAAATTTTTTTACAAAATAATTAACTAATTAAACAATTTAGTTTTTGATTTTTTTATATTATTGTACATTTACAATGGTATTTATTTAACAAATGTTATTTAATCATTTACAACGTGTAAACAAGATTTTAAGTATAATAATTAAAATTATATAGGAATAAACGGTAATAATTATTATATTATATGTGAATAAATTACTATTATCTATTTTGAATTTTGAAATAAAATATTTTGAAATAAAAATATTATTTCCTCCTCTTTTTTTTTATTTTTTTCTGTTTTTAATAATAAAAATAAGTAATTAAAATTGGAGAGTGTTTCACTATACAATGGGTATTTAAAAGACAACACTATAATGTACTCGTTGTGATTTTCAAATAGGTTTTTGAGTAACTAAAAAAAGTAATAAGAAGTAAGGCAGCAAAATATTTAAGACTTTTTAAATTTATGTGGGTTATAAAGTGTTGAAAAAAGTAAGAGACATTGCTTTTAAAATAACTTGATATTAAAAGTTTTGAGATTTGTACTAAAAATGAACTCTTGTACTAAAAATTAATTCAGAAATTTTGAATCGTTTTAGAGAAAACTAGAGTATAAATAATTGCAAATGTACGATATTCAAAGAATATGCATGCATACGATATCTGATGTTGAACATATTTTGTATATTTTAATCACTACATATATACTCAATTATGACAATGTAACAGCAACAATGTTCTGTAGTATATTAAAGAAAAATGTTGTTGAGCACTCTCGCGATAGTCTTTCATCCGAATTAAATTATTAAAATTATTTCTGGAAAGAAGATGGTAAGTATGAGAAAGCAAAATTGAGTAAATATACAGTCTATTTTATTACAACCCTTGCGATAAATCAAAATAATAAATTTCGAATTTATTCGAGTTGCTCTGATATTTTTCGTAATTATCTATAATAGCTAAGCTAAGTACATACATATATATGATATATCAAACATTAAAAAATTTCTTCAAAAATAAATTCGAAGGATTTCGGAAGGATTTGTATGCTCTCAATCACTATACCGAAAATCAAATATATAAAATAAATTTACTTTGAATCATTTTGAATTAAAAAGCAAAAATTATTTTAAAATTTTAGATTTTGTGACAATACTCAATTAGACAGTTTTATATATGAAAAAAAATATTTCATTTTTTTTTAATTTTCTTTACAGGAAATTTTTAATCTTTTCATTGTACATACATACATATTTCGTATTAAACGATATATGTACAAATATGTCTTAAACTGTACTTCTTTGGACCTAAGAATTAGAAAAAAGGAACAGGTTATTCAAAAAATAAATATTTGTCTACAAGATCAACAAATTTTTCCAATAAAATTAAAGTAATAAAAAAAGGTAAAAATTTTTGTAGGAAACAAAAGAAAATTTAAAAATCACAAAATATATGAAGAAAAAGAACCCACAAAAATCAATAAAGAATTTAAAAGAAAAAATAAAACCAATCTTCAAATACATACATACATACATACATATGTATTATGTAATTAGTGTAAAAAAACTCTATTTTAAAAAGAATTTGAAAACAAAAACTTAAGAGTGAAAATATATATACATACTACATACATAAATAATTTTAATTGAAATTTAAATTGAATTGAAATTTAAAATAAAAGAAAGAAATCAAAATGAGTGTTATTATTCGATTACAAAATCTACCATGGTCTGCAAATGCTTTGGATATTCGAGCTTTCTTTCGTGGACTATCAATACCCGATGGTGGAGTTCATATTGTTGGCGGTGAAATGGGAGATGCATTTATTGCCTTCAGGTAGTTTTTAAATCTATTTCTTATTACTTGTTTTTTTTTTCTACACAAAAAAAAAATTAAACAACAAAATGATGTGTGTGTTGGTAATCACATCCATTAACATACATATATGTATTTATTGAAAATGACAAATTTTATATTTAAATCAACCAATATATTAATTAGTAATTACGAAATTTTTATAATATATAAGAGCCTAAGCCAATAAATTTTTATAATGTTCCTCAAATTAATAATCGTACAAATTTCATAGGTAAGTTCTAAATTATCATAAGATTCTTCTTGTCTTCGGGGTTTGATAAATGAAAATTTGGATGTAGAAAAATCAATTCTTTATAAAATAATCTATATAAAACCAATTCTAATCCAGACAATTCCTGACAATCGAATACAGGCCTTTATAAAGCTTTTAATAAATGAATAAAAAAGATCTGCTTTGTTTTATAGAAATTTGACAACTATTCTTAAAAGTTTTCAATTAGATCGAACCGCAATTGAAAAGCAGATTAAAGATCTCACTCTTGCCTCTAAATTTTTGTACAAATGCCCTGAATTTTGTTTTGACAATGTATTTTTAAAAAAGATCAAAAATCTCACCCTTGTGTCTAAATTTTTTGTACAAATGTCCTGAATTTTGTTTTGACAATGTAATTTAGGTTAAGTTACGATAAGACGGTCAGATAGGGCCGCTGTGATATTGCTCAGCCTCCATAATCACGTGAGGCGAGTTAAGTTTTTCAAAAACTTTTTTAAAATTCCTAGAAATACGAATCAAAAAATCTTAGTTCCTTTTTCTGTAATTTTCTGTGTTTTTGAAAATTCAGTTCTTAAAGTTAGAACCGAAAAGCTTTAAAAGTTTCATGTACTATTTTAATGAATAGTTTTTAAAGGTGATCAGTTCAAACTATACAAACTTAATTTTCAAAAACAGAGTTTGATAACATTTTATCTATTATATAAAAATCCAAAAGTAATGGACATATATAAAAAGAACCTTGTTTAAATGTACAATGACATTAATGATTTTTGAACAAACTGAGAAATTTGAGAGCTGCACTTTCTCTGAAGAGATATTAAGAGATGAACAATAACCTCACAATATTTGATGTGAATAATATTAATATGTGAATATTAAAATGTGAATAATATCACAATATTATTCACATTTTAATATTTTATGTATACAAAATTATACGAATTATACAATATTGAGTACGAATTTTGCCGACTAACTATATATGTATGTACATACATTTGAGAAAAGAGAATGACTATAATTTCTCATCTAGTCATCTCATACTTTTCAATTGTTAAAAAGAAGAAAGCAAATTTTTTTTTGAAAAAAACACATGTCTTAAATTATCTTTTTATTGTATAAGTGGACTTCATTTATAAAATTAATTAATTTTTTAATTCATATGTTATATTATAACATTGTTATCTAAAATTATTGTAAAATGAAAGAAAAAAATATCTAGGAAAAGTTGCCGGAAATTCAAATAATATTTGCTTTTTTTTTTGCTCATTTTACACAACAAACAAAAAATTAAATTCAAAAGACAACACGTTATATAAAATAACAAGGAAATAAAGAACTAGTTTATTTCAAAATACCGGTGAAACAATTATTACCTAAAATGTGCTATGGTGTTCCCAAAAAAAAAAAAGTAAATAAATAATTTAATTAGCTCGCTATTAGATTTTTGTGTATATACAATAAATTTATTCAACTTCAAATTTGACTTACATACTTATTTATATCAAAGCCTTACAATGGTTAAGTCTTACTTTTATTTCGTTTTCACAATATTATAAAAAGAGTAAATATATTTGAACAATACCAAAGAATTCATAATTTATTTGCGCTTGAATAAAATTTTACCCGTTGCTATTAACTATTTGAAAACCGTGCATTTGACTTTTTTTTTTTAAATTCTGAATTTAAAATAAATTTAGATCAAACCCATTGGTTTATAAAATAGCACATTTCCCTTAAACGATTGAAAATTCTTTATTTTTATAAGCTACTCCTGTCGTTGATTAATAATATACCGTTGGGGGTTATATCATTAATCAATGCCTTCCATTTAGATGATTTACATTAATATACAAAAATCATAATTATTGCATACTTTTCGGATGACAATTAAAAGATACATTATAATGGTCGTATTCAACGTTATAAATTAGATGAGTTAATATTAAAATTTTAAATATGTTATTAAACTTTTTGATGGGAAAACAAAAAAAACCGAAAAAAATTAACAATTTATTAATATCAACAAACTGTTAAAATTACCAACTGACTTAAAAGAAAGCGATGGGTTAAAAAAAAAAAAACAATCAGATATAGGATGATAGTAAATTAGAACTAAAATCCATTTATTGTAACGTCGACGTATGTTATTTACAGTAGAAGAAGTAAGTCATCTTCTTATTGAGCTTGCAAAATTTGAAAAATATTTCTGGTGCCGATATACAATATGTTGTCAAAAATTCGCATTTTCAGGATTTTGAGGGATATATAACATATATAGGAGTGGAGGAGGTAGGTAAAAATTTTTTTCTAGAAATATTCGAACAAACCCAAAGTGTATAAGATTTCCACCTTTTATATTAAAAACGAAAAGAGGTTTTGTAAGCAAATGCACTCCCGGAGAAACAAACTCAAACTAATTAACACATATTTTTCCATATTTACAAAAAAGAGAGTACTTAAATAACCAAATAAAATGACACATAAAATGACAGATCTTCTCGAACATAAAATTAAATCTACCAATAAATCACAAATTTTCTAAAAATTATCAAAAATCCACAAAAAATTAAACAAAATTAAATTTGATTCTAAGAGCCTGATCGTCTAAGGCTCTGATCAATCCTAAAGTTAGTAGCTATCACTTACTTGTATAATTAATGCATAAAAAATTTATTAACTTTGTTTTTTAAAGTGAGACGTTTAGTCGATAATTTATAAAAAAATGCAAAAATTCAATTGAAAAAATCTTATTGGAAAAGTGAAACGTCCATTAGAAAATACTGAGAATTCTGATTTTAAAGTGAATAAAAAGGGAGTAAAAAAGCGAGATACACGATCAGGCTGTAAAAGTTTGCTATGTAGGCTTACATGTTAAAGCTGCTTGTATTTGTATGAAATAGTCCTGCCATAATATTAAATAATTTCAAACCAAAATAAAATTTTTTAACTTTTGGAAAATGATGAACAAAAAATTTAAATGTTTTACAAACATTACATATAGTATACTAAAGAGCAAAACCACTATCTTAACTGCAAATCAAAATTGACCTTATCTTTAACCAGAAAATTCTTTTTTTTTATTTTTAACACTATTAAACATATGCCTGTGTAACTTTTACAACACAACTTGTCGGACTAAACTGCATGGGGGTTTTCGTTTATTCAGCTCTAGAATAGTTCTAACTTGTAGTAGGTTCGAAAATTCACGCTAGATACACTGAAAATATAGATCGTTCGGAAATTACTGGCTGCAATAAAGTGCATTCGGAAATTCAAACTGCAATAAAGAAAAAATGCTAGAAATGTATAGCGCAGACCTCTAGTATAAATTTTGTCGCTGACTCATGATTTTTTTTTTTAAATTTAAAATTCAAAAAAAATTTTAAATTTCAAAATATCATATTCAGATATTGAAAGGTTATTGAAGTAAGTTTTCTTTAAATTCTCAAATCTTGTTAAAATTTCCTTATTTTAGGGGTGAATTCGAAGGCGAAAAGTATTGGGATACACTTTCATAAATAATGTCATTTCTGATATTTTCGAACGACAGATTATTTCAGAAGTTTCAGAATTTGTAGATTTTATAAACAAAAAAAACTTAGCTCAAGTTTCTGCATACTGTTTAACGCTGCAATTTAGAAATTTTAGTACTAATGTAGAACTTTCAGCGCAGCGTGCATAAAAAAGAAAACCCCTCTGTTTTACAAAGAGCTGAAACGTTGATGAACTATACTAATTAAAAAAACAAGTAAAAACGTTTCAGTTGGTATAAACCGAATGAATTATACCCTGCACCTTTCGTTGTTGTATAGCAGTTACTCGAACCATTCTATAGAAACTTCACGGATATATCTGACCTATAATTGGACACACAACTGCCAAGTTTCATGAATCTGACTTTATTATTTCTCCAAATATTCAAAATAAGCTTTTGGACTTGTATGGAAGCAACTCGAACCTGTCAAGCAATTCAACCAGAACTTCAGAAATATATCTGACCTATAACTGGACACACAACTGTCAAGTTTCATGAATCTGACTTTATTATTTCTCCAAATATTTAAAATAAGCTTTTGGACTTGTATGGGAGCGATTCGAACCTGTCAAGCAATTCAACCAGAACTTCAGAAATATGTCTGACCTATAACTGGACACTCAACTGCCAAGTTTCATGAATTTGACTTTATTATTTTGCCGAATATAAAAAATTTGCTTTTGGAGTTGTATGGCAGCCACCCGAACCGGTGCAGCTATCCCATTAAAATTTTTTAAGTATATGTAGAATATAATTGGACACATGTATACAAAATTTTATATTGATCCCTTTATTAGTTTTTGAAATATTTAAAATAAACTCTTTGAGTTGTATGGGAGCTACCTGAACCCGATGTCCGAATTAGTCCAATTACAATAGGGTTCGTCCTTGGCACAAAAGAAACAACTTGTGAAAGTTTGGTTTCAATTGCATTTTGAGTTATCGTGCGATCGGACGGACGGACGGACGTCTAAATCGACGCAGAATTTGACGCTGAGCAAGAATATATATATATGTCCATACCGGAGACGACTCCTTCAAGTAGTTACAAACTCCATACCAAAGTTAATATACCCTTCACGAAGTGCAGGGTATAACAAGGATCTACTTTAAATAAAAGCATACTTAAGTAAAAAAGGTTGGTGCGATATAGAGCCCAGAAAATTTTATCGCATGCTTTATAATACACAGAATACCTAATTCAACAAATATTGTCACTAAATCTAATATTTTAGAGAAACGGACAAACCAATTTTTTAAAAATTCATACAAATATAAAAAAAATTATATTTATCATAAAACGCTCTATTTTACATGTGCATATGTACGCTCCATATTTGTACAGGCAAAAGTAAAACAAAAGCATAAAATAACAAAACAAATTGCAATTTTTAATGCACTTTCACAACACTTTTACAATAATAAAGACGTCACGAATTTGGTTGTAAAATTTGCATAAATTTATTTGAAATTTGAGTGTTTGAAAATCATTTGAAAAATATTAAATGTACACATACATACATATTTATGTAAGACTATAAAGATAAGAATGAAATTATTTATGGTACTTCCATATGAAATTTAAGGAAACTTAAAATAGGATTTGAATTGAATAAATTTATATTACCCGTGAGACATTGTAATTGAACATATTAATTGTGATGAAAGTTGAGTATGCAGGTGCATTCATATCTACATACATAGATGCTATATATAGTCTAGATGAATAGTTGTTAATAATATTGTAAAAACAACTTGTATTGCATTCTTCTCAGGAAATGAAATCAAAAATGGTAATCATATTAATTGAATGAAACGTTGAAATCTTTCATAAAAAAAAAGTTATAGTTAAATACTGTCAGTCATCACGTCTCACTCAAAAAGTAGTTCAATAGTTTGTCCATCGTTTTTTTTTTCTTCTTTTTCTTTTCATTTTCTTTTGTCATCAATATTTAATATTATAAGAGTTCCAGTTTTTAATCTTTTTTTTTATTATTTCAATTAAATTATAAATAACTATATATTTTTCTTTGATTAAATCAAAATTCGTACATAGTGAACACCATAGTTAGATGTACAGTTACATATATCTATGGTGAATATCAAATTAACTGTGATAAGTACCATTGCTCTAGGAATTACTTACAAAATATTACATAATGAAAAGCAAGTGTTAACAAACGAAATAATGAAGAACAAATAGAAAATTTTAACGATAGCCACAAGAATGCGTCACTCATTATGTATTTGCTCACTGTTGACAGAAATACAGGCCTGGACTCTAAAAAAGCTGATAAATTTACATGTATTCTTATGGAAACTATGAAGTGTCCTTTTAAACATCATAAATTTCCCACAATATCATTTTTTTTTTCAAATTTTTAATTAGAAAAATTAAAATTTAATCTTTATCTACTTTATTAGTGATTTTTTTGTAATGTCAAGGATTTGCTGCATAGATATTTAAGTTCTTGTAGAATTGAATTTGCTCTTACTTTAACACTTCAAATCTACTACCACTAAATATGTCTATTTCTACCACGGTTCAGTTTAAATGACCTGTCTTTAAAATGTTCAATGGATATCATGCACTGTGTTTAGCAAAAAAAAAAACAGGTGTCAGCACATAACCGACCGCAATGTATATTGTCTAGACTAGAAAAAGTATTGTAGAAGATTATGAAAATGCGTTTTAAAAACTTCTTTACAAATTTAAGAACACTAATAAGCTTTTAGTTAACATACCTAGAAAAATGTGTATTTGGCTCTTAGTGGAGTTTCATTTTGTGCCGTTCGAATTATACGAAAAGTATAGTATGGTAATATAGAAAAGTATAGTCGTCAGTAATTACTGGTTCTCAAATATAAAATTTCAAGAAATTCCATTAATTCGCTCCGTAGATATTGTAAAAAATGTAAAATCGGACCCAGATCAGTTTCCAAATCCTGACCTTTCAAAAAAAAATTATAGATCCATTGTTTTAACAATCAATCAATGAAATCAGTTGAATATTTTCTTCAAAAATGTAAATCCAAAATGTAAAACAGGCCCGTTAAAAGGTCTAATTCCCGATACCTGATGAATCCCAAAAGTTGACCAGTCCGTGCTATTGTCAATATAAAATTGCATATAAAATTTTGTCAAAATCGGTTTAGACGAACTTGAGATACACGCCTGAACAGCACAGACCGACAATTCGCTACATAGTTTATTTACGCTTCCCTACCATGGAGAAAAGCGTTCAAATAAAAAAGGAAAACATAAATCGAAATAGACTCAAAAAGTTGCTTTTGGGGTTGCTAAGAGTTTTCGATCTCATTTGTATTTATTTGTGGGCAGGGATGAGAGAGGTTTTTTCTTAGGATTTGTGTTCTTTGGAGAAGTCCAGGAAAAATTATTTTTTGAATAATCGGGTAGAATAATGTTTTTTTTGAGTAGGTATGTATTTACTTGTAAAAATACACAGTATGAGAATATTAATGAATTAAAGAAGGTATAATGACTTAATTTTTACAAAGAATTTTGCCCTTCTCTTCTTGGTAAGTTAAAAATTCATATTAAATGTCCATGGTTCTTATAATCTTTCCTAATTCAATTTTATCACTTGAATCAGTTCAAAGCAAGATGTATGTATCTGTTTAAGGCTCTAGTCGTACTATACCATGTACAACACATTTTCAAAAATTTCCGTTTGTACTTCCCAAGCGAACCGTATAATAAGTAGGATGCAAAAATATGCATTGATTATATTGATTTGCTTTCCTATTCTATTGATATACGTACAATGTATTGATTGCAACACAGAAAAGTAAGTAAAATATTTTCTGGTGTATTTAATACCTGAAAAAAAGATCAGAGCTTCTTTCACGAATAACACCGATTATAATAAAAATAGAAGAAAACAAATTGGTAAGTGTATAATAATTTTTGAGAATGACGCAGTCAACTGGCTGCGATAACTTTTATTTTCTCTCTTTCTTTCAATATTTCATATATGGTACGCAGCATCAGTTGCTGCAAAAAATTTTAGGCGGCGATAAGTGAATTTTTATTGACAGTCGCACTTATTCAACACTTTGAATATTTACATAACATAATGAATAGTTATATGAATAGTTATACCGCATGTTCTGTGTACCAGATGTGAATCAAGTATATAATGAGTACTCTATAAAATATATACGTATGTATATAAGATGCACCTGATTTGAATAATTGATTACTAAAGTTAGGTTTAAGCAGATTATAATAAAAAAGGAAAAATACTGTAACTGCATTATGTATGAAATATTTATTTAGGTGCATATACATATGCATGCTTTTGTGCCGCAGACCCCCTTAATTGGTTACACAACATATTCTATAAAATTAAAACTCAGAACCCTTCCATCTTCAAACAAGCAATACCATATCTGTATCTTAATCACCTTTCTATTAATGTCTTAACAGAAATCACTGTAAATGCATGTATCTCAGTAATTACATGTGTGGGTCGTGTTATAAACCTTTTTCCAACCTTTCGTTTTTGCTCTATGCTTGACCTTAACTGCATGTACATATCCCATATATTCATATGTTTGTTGGTATGCAAATGGTAAGTAAATAACAATTTCAAATCACATGCGCACGAACCAAATGCGATCTCGTTTCAATTTGGAAAAGGAAAATCTTTATAGTTTTTTAATTAAATTTTTCATCTTTCTACTTAATATTTCAATTCCTATTTGGTATTTTCTTCATTTCAATTTTGGTGGTTATAAAGTTATAAATAATCTCTGAAATAAAAATTTCGTAGTTACATTGGTTGAAAAGTTAACAAATAATTAAAAATTTGAAAAATTATTTTGTCTTTTTTTTTTAATTCAAATATATAGCACTGATGAAGATGCCCGTCAAGCGATGTCCTTAGATAAAGGGAAAATAAATGAGGTTCAAGTTCGTTTATTGTTATCATCAAGAGCTGAAATGCAAAAAGTTATTGAACAAGCTAGACAAAATTCTTTAGCTATGCAAATGCAACGTTCTTCAAATACCGCCGTTTTAAATAAAGCAAAATTATTAACAGAAACTGTACAAAATAAATCACAAGAAGCAAAAATTCCTCAACCACCAATAATAACTTCGAACACTTTGACAAACATTTTATCAAATCAATCTAAACAACAATATCCTGGTATTTTGAATAATGAAAATTCATCTGAATCTTATAAGTCTGTGAATGATAAAGTGATTGAATCTCGAGATCCTAGAAATATACCAGAATCTCAAAGTATAGAACGGAGTGATCCTAGATTAAGAAATCGTAACCGTGACCGTTATACGTCTCACTCACGTTCTTCATCTCGTGATAGAGATCGTCGTCGATCTAGTTCTAGAGAACGTTCAAGTCGAAAACGGGGATATGACAGATCACGGAACAGATCAAGGGAAAGATCTCGCGAAAGATCTAGAGATAGAAGTCGTGATCGTGATAGAAGGTCTAATAGAGAAAAATATAGACGTAGCAGATCAAGAAGTCGAGATGGGAGCACAGATCGGTTTGGACGTCGTAAGCAGAATTCACGTGAAAAAGATTTAGTGGCAAAAATTAAAGAAACCAAAGAAATAGATTCAAAGGAAGTAAATAAAAGAGATAAAGATAATATCAGTTCAAAAAATAAAAATGATGCAAAAAATGCCAAAAGTATTGAAGAGGAAGTAGCAATGATATTAGACGAAGATGAAGATGAGGAAAATGAGGTAGAACAACCACCCATTCCTCCGCCAAATAGTCATAAACTGAGTACTCCGTTTGGATTAACTAATCAATTTTTTCCAAACTTGTTGCAAGGTTATACTACAATCAGTCAAAATATGGATCAATTACAACAGCAACAAAAACAAAATAGTTCTATTACTTCTTTACCTCAAACACCATTTCTTAACAACAATAACGTCGATAATGCTAAACAACAAACAAATTTTCAAAATACTTTTGGGTATCAAACTCAATTACAAACCCCTATAAATACCATGGCGCAAAAACCATTAGGATCAATCCTAAGTAATTCGAATGCAGATTCAAATAATATAAAAAGTTCAAACGAAGCATTTGATGAAAATAAATTCAAAGAAATGATGATGGCTAATGAAAATAAACTTTTGCAAATGGGTCCCTATGGAAATTTACTTAATATGCCAAATATGCCAGGAGTTACAACATTTCCTTATCAGAACTTGATGAATCCGGTAGTAACCACTCCAAATAATTTAAATTACAGGCAGCCTGCAATGCCGTTTCAAAATCCTTACACTATGATGGCAAATTTATCTAACCAAATAGGGGGTATAGATAACTTTGCGACAAACCCTTTGTTACAACCATCTTTGCAAATGGATAATCAAGATAAAGCCTTAACAAAAACGCCTACAAATGTGCAAAATACACCCAGTTTTCCTGGTGTTTTAACAAGTAATATTAGTAAAAATTTGGAAAATCTTAATAAATTTAATGCTGTAGCCAATCAAGTGAAAGCAAAAATTGATGCGCAGGGTAATTTAAACGCTTCAAGACAGAATGAGTCTTTTCGTGATCCTAGACAGGAAAAAAGGAGTAGATGGGATCCTACCACATCAGACTCTAATAAAAATAATCAGAATAAAAATTCTAATTACATGGATTTAAAAAATAATCAAGAAGGAAATATTAATAATAATGTTAACCCATTTAGCAACGTGAACTTTGATAACAAGTCAAATTCTGATCGCAGAAACGATAATCAACTTGATAGAACTTACAAACAACCAGAAATTATGTCTCCCAAAAATGATGAACCAATATTTGGAATGCATTACGGAACAAATACATTTAAATCCAATAATAATGAAAGAAATGCACGAGGTAGATTTGAAGACAAAAATAAAGATAAAAAAGTTGAAAATGAGGTTCGTGGTAAATGTGTAAAAATTAGTAACCTTGATGCTGGTTCAGCTCAATACAGTCAGATAAGACGGTTTTTTAATGGATTATATGTTGCAAATAATGGTATTAAGATGATTAATAATGAAGATGGTAACAGAACTGGTGTTGCTTACGTTCGCTTTGTAAGAACTGAAAGTAAACCAAAAGCTTTAATGAGAAATCAGTGCTATTTAAAAGATAGAAAATTAAAAGTAGAAAGTGTAACTGATGAGGAATTCGATAATCAGGTTGATTCATATAAGCCATCCAAAAGATCAGATGATTACAGAAATAGAGATGATCGACATCAAAATTATAAAGATAAAGATGAAGATGATTTTGATAAAAGGGGTGGAAAATATAAAGAATATGATTCCGGTAATGAAGAATCAGATGAAGATGATGATGTCAAAATTTCTAAGGATAAAACAGATAAAGATAGTGAAGCAATTCTTAAAATTCTTGACTTGCCGTTGTTAACAACTGAGTTAGATATAATGAAAATGTTTTCATCTTATACAATACTTGATATATTGTTAGATAAAGATCCCAAAAATCGTCGTCAAATGTATTGCTTGGTAAAATTTCATCGAAGTTCAGAAGCTAAGTCTGCTTACGAAAATAAATCACTACATTTATTAGGTCACAGAAATGTTATAGTAAAATGGTCATCAGAGGCACAATTTTCAAAATTAAAAGCAAGTTTGGATGGTTCTGATGATAATCAAAATACAAATTCAGAAAATGTAAATACAAATGACAACGATAGTAAAAATGAGAAAACTGAAAATACTGACCAAAATCTAGAAACAAATTCAATACATTCCGAAAATGTAGAAGATGAAAGTACAGATAAAAGTGAGAATGCTCCTAAATTTGGATCATTTTTAGAAAAATATGATACAAACAGTAATCATTCTAACACAGCGAACATACCAAGTCTTTTAAGCTTAAATCCAATAGAAATTCCAGTGGTTGATGAAACGCCGATAGAATCGAGACGTCGTCAAAATCCAATGCAATATAATAATGAACAAAATATTCGATCACTTGATTTTAAACGTTTCGTTTACCTGCGTAATTGTGTTTATAAATTGAAACAATTAGATTACGCAAACTTTTTCCGTACAATAAATTTAGAACCAGTTAGAATTGAAATAATATATTCAAACGGCCGACCAAATGGTGATTGTGTCATTGAATTCGATAGCCAATTAGATGCTGAAAGAGCCTTAACAAAAAATAATCAGCAGTTTTGTGGTAGAAGCTGCAGAATCGAAATAATTAATGCAAATCAAGCTGCTGATAAAATAGGAGATGATAGTATAAGAATGAATCCCAACGCATTATTACCACCAAGTACGAATTTATTTGGTAGTTCCAATTTGTTTAGCGAAAATAATAATAATCCGTTTAATCGAAACTCTAATGATTTTGGTTTTAACAACAGAATGAATTCTGATATGAGAAATAACCGAAGTAGTGGAATGGGATCATTTGAGCGTAATGGTCGATATGATAGAGATCGTCAAGATGGAAATCGCGACGATAATAATAGAAATAGGCATTTTGGCGATCAAGATCGAAGATCAAAATTTGATAATAACGGTAGACGCTCCAGATATGATAACAATAATCGAAAAGGTGGAGGAAACGACCGAACAAATCAAGATAATTTTAGCGAAAATTCAAAAGACAAAGATTTCGATGACAACCATTTTGGAAATAAAAATGACGAAGACGAACGTAATAATTCAGTGGAAAACAGACCTGTGAATAATATGAACATTATTTCAAATTCATCAGTTGATCAATTTGGAAAACCAGACTGTGTTTTAGCTTTATCAAACGTTCCATATAAGGCGGATACCAACCAGATATTAGAGCTTTTTTCTGATTTTGATGTTTCTCCACAAAGTGTTATCCGGCGTTACAATGATAGTGGACAACCGACAGGAGATGCAAGAATCGCATTTGTTTCACCTGAAGAAGCTAAGCGTGCATTGAATGAAGTAAGAAATCAAAAGATATTCAATAGAGTTATTCATTTAAATTTATTAAGTAAGAGCTTTTAAAGAATTATTATATGAATTATGAATTTTAATAAGTTAGTTATAAATTATTATATTACTGCATTAGTTTAGGTTACTAAATAAAAATAGTAATTAGCGATAGTTCTTGTAAAATATTATGGGATTTCTTGCAAGAATCTTATATGTTGTATAAATTGATTGAAAATGTATTTATAGTTAATATCATATTATAGCTTTTAGATATTACTTTTTTTCTTAAAATAAATAATTCAAAGAAATTTCTATCACAGATTTTTTTTATTTGGAAAGTAAGTAAGTCATAACATTTTTTATAAAAAATTTTGTAAAGGAACAATACTTGATTTACTAATTTTATCACGACACAAGGGACATTCGTCTTTTTCATCTAACCATTCCAATATACAATCCCAACAGAAAATATGGCCACACGGTGTTAAGCTTGTATTTTTCCTTGTTTCCAAACAAAGAGTGCATTTTGGTATTTGTGAAGTATGACTATCAAAAGACTTTTGTAATAAATGCGATGTACTTTTGGTAAAGTGGTCTTGTAGATTTTTGTCATTCTTTTCTTTGAAAACAGAATACAATTTTAAAAGAATTGATACGGCCAATTGTAAAAGTGTTAACGTTCCAAGAAATTTATATCCGTATAATGAATATTCTGGTTTTAACCAATTTCTAATGTGCACATATCTTATTCCAGTAATACGTTTGGAAATGTGATATTTTGTGCTAGATGTAAAGTAGTAAAATATCCCCTTGTGAAAAGCTTTTATGTATGGAATTGAACCTATCATAAATTGAATAGTGGTCCTTATTTTTATCTTTGCTTCTGGTAAAATTTCTTTATTTTCTATAACACTTTTCTCTAAATCATTTAGCAGTTTTATGTAGAGTTGTTCTCCACCAAATTCTAAGATTGTAGCAGTTAATCTAAGCTAAAATATTAACAAAAAGTTATTAAAGTATTTTCGTCATTTTGATATGTATGCAATTGAACTTTACCAATTTTGAAGGAATCGATATTTGTTTATTATCTATTTGGAATATCCCAGTGTATTCTTCTCCTAAAGTTTGCAGATTTTGCAAAGATGCAAATCCATGGTAGACAATTTGAGACAGCAGATTGATCATGTGATTATATCGAATCCAATTTCTCGGTCCCGTCAGCTGTAGAAGTTCAGACATATCTGCACTAAGTTCATTTGTGTACGTTAAATCCTTTTGAACACATCTTATTATTTCTGCTTTTAGGGTTCGGTTGTATTGCATTTTTGGATGATTATTTTTATATGGATGTAACTAGTATATAGTTTTAAAAAAGAACACTTATATTATTGATTACTGTGGTTTTATAAAAAGAACAAGATTATATCATATGAATAGAAATAAAACAAAACAAATATTTGAAAGGCAAATGTTTCCCGATGAAAAATCAACATTACCGTTTCATGACTAAAAAATGCAGTGTGTAGTTTTTATTAATACTTAATTGTGTTCTAATGGTGAATGTTGCATCAATGGTTAACATCGGATTATTTAAACATCGCAATACACAGCGTCATAAAATGTAATAAGTTTAATAAAATGTAAATGCTGTATGTTTAATTACAATAAGGTAAAAAATTTATATGTACATGAAGTTTTGACATTCCTTTTCAATAATAAACTGTCAAAACATGTTTTGCAATTGAAGTAAAATCAGTTTTAGCTACGGTACAATGTAAGAATAGTTGTCCTTGTATTTGACGCAAAAGCGCTGTAATCGTTTTTTTTTTTGATGGATAAAATGTATTGGGAGAAACAAGCACGCTGTCTAATTTTAAAATTCTCAAACCCACTCCACGTGCTACATAGGTTCACGTTTAAAGTTTGTTAATTACCATATTGAAGTCAAAATATTTTAATTTGCCTTTTTCCAAAGGAATTCATTAAATAAAAAAGAATAATTTGTACTCGAATCAATAAAGGTAGGTATTAATATTAATAATTTTTAGCCAGTACACTAAATTATATATTAAAGCTTATTGATTTTGATCTTAAATATTTTGCTTTAGATGTCCGAATCAGATTCAGCATGTGAAGAGCAGGAAGTTCAATTGAACTCTGAAGCAGAAGGAAATGATTCAGATAGCGGAGATTCGGATATTGATTTAGGAATATCGGATTCGGATGAGGAAGACAATGAAGCTGATTCTGATGATGAAAACAACAATGAAGCTGATTCTGATGATGAAAACAACAATGAAGCTGATTCTGATGATGAAAACAATAATGAAGCTGATTCTGATGATGAAAACAACAATGAAGCTGATTCTGATGATGAAAACAACAATGAAGCTGATTCTGATGATGAAAACAACAATGAAGCTGATTCTGATGATGAAAACAAGAATGACGATGACGTGCAAATGAAAAACACAGAAAAGAAAAATGAAATAAACGATAGCGGAAAAAAATCTGTTCAACCCAACAAAAAAGAGAATGGAGTACAAAATAATTACAATTTAGCAGCAGAAGGCAAGGCTAATTTTTATGAAGGGAAAAGACTAATTATGGAAAAATTTGCAAAGTTGCATGGAAAGCAATTATTTTTACGTTTTGGTAAAAACTTGCCCAAAACCCCAAAGGAAACAGAAGAGTATGTTAAAAAGTTCAATGAAAGAATTATTAGGGTAACAAGACCCAGACAAAAAAGTGTTAGATATTGTTTAGCGATATTTCATAATGAAAAGGAGAGAGCTAAGGCAATGGAAGAATTAAAAAATGTGGAAATTGATGGTGTTAAATTAATAGTAAAATTCCCAAAAACAGATGATAAAGAATATTTAGAAAAAATATCAAATTACCAAGCAAGAAAACGAGCAAAATTTATGGAAATAAGAAAGGCTAAATTATTAGCTAAGCAAAGTCAGAAAAAATTAACATCAACGATAATTGTTTCAAATATACCATCAACAGCCACTGCAACTGACGTTAAAGCTTTGTTCCCTGACGCAGTTGAATTAAGGTTTACGGTTGCAAAGGTAAGAAATACTATATCTATATTAGTTGGTCAAAATTAATATAAAAAAATTTTCAAATTCTTTTCGAGAAATTTAATTCCTTAAGGTTTTAAGAGCTCTTTTTTTTTGTTAATTTTAGGGAATTGAAAATACATCTCAGGCTATTGTAACGTTACCGTCTAGTGAAGATGCAACCCAAGCTAAGCGAAAAAAACATACAATAGGGGATAATAAGCTGAAAATAATGTTTGCAAATGATTCAAAGAACAATGATTCAAAAAATAATGATTTAAAGAGTAATAAAAAATCAAATAAAAATTTAAATAAAAAGAAGCCAGAACAGAAACAAAAAAAAGTGGGGCCTGTTATTACTAATAAAAATCAAAAAAATTTACAGAAAAATGAAATTAAAGAAAAGAAAAATAAAAATGAAGAAAAAACTAAAAATGAAGAAAAAACTAAAAATGCAAAAAAAACTAAAAATGAAGAAAAAACTAAAAATGCAAAAAAAACTAAAAATGAAGGAAAAACTAAAAATGAAGAAAAACCTAAAAATGAAAAAGTAAATAAAAATTTAGGGAATTTAAAAAAAAAACAAGACAAGGATAACAAAAATCAAATAAAAAACCAAAATAATGCTGTTGAAAACAAAAATAAAGCATCTAAAAACAAAAATAAAGTGGTTGAAAACAAAAAGAAAACTTTGGGCAATAAAAATAAAGGAGTGGATAACAAAAGTAAAACAATACAAAAGAAGGGTAAAGTAATGAAAAACAAAAAAGGTCCAGCAGCGGGACTAAAACAAAATAAAAAGGCGAAATCGAATTAAAAACTAATATCAAATTTTCAAATATTTTTTTTAAATAGTATTTGAAATTTTAAACTATTGTAAGTAGGTAGGTACCTACTTACCTATTCACCCACTTATATTTCAATTTCTAAAAAAAAAGGACAATTATTAGATTGTATTTTAAAAATTTTTATCTTTTTAGTATAATAAGAAAAGTATTTAAATGTATGTACTTTAAATACAATAATAAAATGCAAATCTATTATCTAGGTACATAAACATAAAAAACATAAAAAATATGTTGCCAATATCTTAATAAATTGATTTAATATACAAAAAATATATATACATAGGTATATAGTTTTTACTTACGAAGAACTTTATTTTAAAACTCGAAACTATAGCTTTTTTCGTAACCACTAAAGCAGAAATTAGCATTGGACTTATGAAATATGTACATCAGCAAAAATTTAAATTTAAAATTTCTTAGTTATATTTAATGTACATATTTTGTTTAATACATTATAATATTAATAATCACATTTGAAATAATTGGGTATTATTCATAAATTTTTATTGTTTCCAGAATTCAAATCAATTTCGAAATTTTATATTAAAAATCTTAATACTTGTGGTAAGTATCCCATTACCCCAATTAGCATTTCTAAGAGATATTAAATATTATTCAAATATTTTTTGATATGTATTTGATAAATTAAATTATACAAATCTTATTTAAATATATATTAATAAAGATAATAATCGATAAATTAGATACATAGGTAATTCTAAATATGTAAAACGTTTTAAAACTGTATAAATTTAGGGCAACTAATACATTTAATCATGTGTTCCTGATACAAGAATTTCCGAAACTAATAAAATAAAAATTTAAATTTTTTTTTTTTAATTTTTTTTTTTATTTCATACTTAAAAATATATATATTCAATTCAAAATTGATTTCTTTACACAATTTAATATAAAATTTTTTATATTATATACATATATATATTTTGTTTTTTTATTAAATTGAATTTTTAGTAAGAATCAATTTTAAAATATTGTAATTACACCATACATTTATATAAAAAAAAAAAAAAAATTACAATAATAATTAGTTCTTGGAAGCTAGATATTTTTTTCATTTCATTTCTGTAAAATATAAATTACATATATATATATATATATAGTTAAGATATATTAATATAAATAGCGAATATTTCTCTTTTAAAGATTGCTACAAAGTTTCGGTGGAATAGTTTTTTTTTTCTCTATTTCTAAATACAATAGTTTTGTGTCGTCTTCAACTCATATTTCAAATCTAAATTTAAAGCAATAATAGTAAAAAATTGAATGAAAATGTTTCAAACAACATCATGTACTACATATTACAATCATATAACAATTTAATAAAAAAAGTTAAAAAAAAATATGATTTTAATATTTTGGCACTAAAAAATTAAATGTTGAAAAATTTGTGCAAAAAGACTTTAATAGGCTTTAATAATTCAAGCTGCATACTTTCTCATTAGTCAACTTACTATTATTTCCAAATTTATGAGTTATTAGTTATTTTATTTAAATTTTATTTTTAAAATCTAAATGCAAATTATCTCGTATATTTTTTAATATTTATGAATAATATATAAAAAATGATTTTTCATTAATTACATTTACTTTCAAAAAATATTCTATTGTATAAAATGATAAACTATTTCTTGTAGCTTAATGAATTTACTAATGAATATCTTATCGAAATTCTTAAATATTTAATTATTTATATAAAATATAAATATATGTTTAAAAATGAAAACTTGTTTCGATAATTATTATCATTTAATTTTAATCTCTATGATCAAATTAAATCGAAAATTAAATGAAAAGACTAAAATTCTTTAGTCATTTTTTATTATTTAATTTCGATTTATGGTTTGAGATAAGATTTGATAATAATTTTTTATTTTAGATATGCTTATTATATATGATGGTTACATTTAGAAAAATTGATTTCATTAAATGCATTAAAGAGAAGATACAATAATGTAATTTTTAATTATTAATTTGAAAATTTGAATTCCTATGAAATGAATAAGAATATTTATAGCGGCGAAATCAAATAATTGTAGAATCAATATTATTATTACGTCTGTAAATTGGTATCACCTTCAAATTATAATTATGTTGGGTCTTACGAATACCACAGCACCATTAGAAATGATTTATTACTTATTTTCTATAGCTATATGATATTTTGTTCTCTGAATCATTAAAATAGGAATTTCATCTTATAGTTTTTGTTTTTGATTTCGATGTTAACAATATGTTGTTTGAGAAAAATAGTATTTGCTAAAAAAATTCTTTGTAAAAATTTATTTGTTTTTTTTTTTCCAAATTATTTAATTAGTTTATTGTATACTACTTGTTGTATTTATTATTTATGTAAAACAAAATTGCATATTTCAAATTTTACATAGAAATTAGAAAATAATTGTGCATTTTTTTTTGTGGCAGAAATTTCGACAATCTTATATACTTTAGTTTTTTTTCAAATTTCTTATACATATTCAACAATAATAGTAATTTTAATATTAATTACGAACTTTAAATGGAAATTAATTAAATGTAATAGTTATTTCTATTTGAATCTCGAAAAGTATTAATAAAAATGTTCAGTATTGCATTGCAATTCAGTAAACTTTTAAAAATATTAAATACAAGAACAAAATATTTTAATAATATTAGGTATTTGCATACTTTTATAATCACATAGTTTTAAAAAAAAAGTTTTGAGTATTTGTAAAAATATTTAAAATCTTTCAAAAAAACAAAAAAAACAAAATATGTTACAATAATTATAATGTGAATAATAGTAAAAAGAAAACTTAAGCTGTTTAACAAGAATGCTAAATTAAATCTATTGGAAAAGCAATATTATGTGTTTATTGTCGTAATTAATAAAAATTTTTGATTTCATTAGCGTATTAGAAAACAATAATATGATTTAAAATAAGAAATATATCTATATTTTAAATAATATTATTGTTTTCAATAAAACATTTAATTATTAATGAAATATGTATAAAAAAAAAAATTAATTTATAATTATTAACACATATATGCTTAAACAACTAAGAGAAAAACTACAAAATTTCTATATGCGTATTTTTAATACAAACTAAATTCTAAATAAAATTTCGTTTTATTTTTATGTATGCAGCTTGAATTTAAATTTTTAAAAAATATTTTTATAATTCAAATAATAAAGAGTTGTATACAATGAATTCGTACAATAAACTAATTTATATAATATAGTCCAAACAAAAAGAAAAAAAAAGCAAAATTATTATTCAATAAATATTTAAAAAGTCAAAATTAAAATAAAATTCAATTTACTAAAAAAAAAAAGTTCATTAAAATTAAGAAACTTAAATTTTAAATAATATACGCGTGTATCTATAATCAATATATTCAATATTGTGTCGCTGTTGAACGGTATGATGTGAATATTTATCAAAAATATATAATTTTAATATCGAATCAGTTTTTTTTTTTTTTTTGTTCATTTCTTGATTTTGTGTCTAGTCAGTTTTTATTTGATTTAATCTTTCTTATGGTTATTCATTCCATATTTTGATGCTTTACGTATTTCCGACATACCTATTGATTTCCTCATTATAACATAAACTAAAATTACAAAAAAAAAAAAAAAAATTAATTAAAATAATTTTATAAAAATAAGAGTTGTAGGAAAAGTTCTTTGCACACTTGCATTCTTTTAACATCTTTATTTCCATTTCTACTACTTTTACAAAATCCCTCTGATTCTTTAAGTTTATGTTAAAAGAAAATTTATGATTTATAAATAAAAGTGTATATTAACTGAATAGAATAGGAAATAATGATTTCTATTGGAATGTAAGCGCACAGAAAAACTTAAATCTTAACAAAAAAAAAAATATTTAAAATACTTACGTATTAATATTAATATAGATACTATTGTTAAACTAAACCAATTTCCATATATTAACGATGTAAACATAAATTTAATTAATGGTAATACAGTAACTAATAACCATCCAACAACATTTAATAATGGATAAATACGACGTTTCTGAACAAATGATTTTGTTTCTTTGAAACCAGAAGTTTTAAAATAATCACCAGTTGTATGAAAACTATCTTGAATTTTATCTTTTTCAACAAATAAATTTTGTAACCAAGCAGCTGCTTCATTTTCATCACTTGGTACATCTTTCATTGGTATACGTCTAACAAACATATATGCATCAACACTATTACCAAATAATAAACTTCTTATTGTTGGTGGAACCTAATTCAATAAATAAAAAAAATTAAATATAAATTAAATATAAATTTTTAATTTTTAATTACTAACCGGATCATCTTTTTTTACAGATAAATTAATATCATAAATTGCATGACAATATTTTTTTAATGTTGGTAAACTAGCTGTAAATCCTTTTGTTCTTGGTATTAAATGATGTTTTAAAACTGTCATACCTCTTTCTTTAGCAAATTGTACAGATGCTTCATGTTTTGATTCTGTAAAACGTGTACCTTCTGCATTCAATAATAACCAAACTGGATCTGGATAACTAAATGCTTCTTTTAATTGTGTTGCAATAATTTCTTTATCTTTTTCAAAGGAACGTTCTAAAAATACAAATTCAGCAAAATACCAACACCATCCAATTATTGGTATATATCTAATAACTTTTTTTGCAAATCTATTTAAAAACAAAAAAAAAAAAAATTAAAATGAAAATATGTCTAGTATTTTATAAAAAAAAAAAAAATAATAAACATACGCTTTACAATTTCCTAATACAAAACGTTTTTCACAAAATATCCATCCTAAAAGCCAATCAATTTCATATGTATGATTCATCATTAATAAAACATTTTCATCTTTTGTAAATATATCTCCATCACAATAAACTGTTAGCTTTGTATTGGACCACCAGTCTGCTAAAAACACAAGTTCTAAAAATTTAAAAATAAAATAAAAATTTAATTAATTTTTATTTCTTATTTATAAAAATATAACATGTACATATGTACATATGTATATAATATTTACACACAACATATAGTATAATAATTTACATTTAAAATTAAAATTACAATTGATTATTTTTGTATGAAAAACAAAAAAAATTATTAAATATAAAATAAGGATGACATTTTTTAAATTTAAAATTTATTATTGTATATGAGTTTTTTTAACTTTTAATATGTCAATTGCCATTAATATTTTAATTTAAATATTTAAAAAAATATATTCAACAGGTTGATGCTCTCTTGTAACACTGTTCTGCCACTGACAATTATTTATAATGCTAGTAACAATTATTGCTTATTTATAATGCTACTAGTTTAATACCAGGGTTGTACTTAAACAACTAAATCAAAGCTACTTGGAAAAGAAATAATAATATTTTTTTAGAATTTATAATGGCAATTAACACATTAAGAGTAAAAAGTTGTAATACCTCTTTTTTTTGTTATATAAGAAATGTTAAGGTATAAATGATAAAAAAAAATTTACAATAAAAAATTCATACTTCAGCTGTTTTTTTTTTTTTTCTTTACAGTGGTATAATTCCATTTTTACACATTTTGAAACATTTTGAAATTAAAACTGAACTTACACCACTTCCAAAAAAAAAACAGCAGTCCATTTTGTTAATACGAGCAATTTGATTATACCGCCCGATTACTACAAAATTTAACAACACAAAAAATTTATTCTTTTTGTTGCATAATTACAATATCCAACCGCAGAATTAGAATTAGTCATAAATAGAAGTGATCATTTAAATTTGATTATGTTGTCAAACCTTTTGGTTTTTCATGTTTTCTGAACTTGTTTATAACCGCCTGATCGTGTATCTCGCTTTTTTTACTCACTTTTTACTTACTTTCAAATCAAAATTCTCAGTATTTTCTAATACTGAGAATTAATTAATTAATTAGAGAGAGAATTAATTAATTAATTAGAGAGAGAATTTAATAATTAATTACTGAGAATTATTTAATTAGAATTAATTAATTATAGATTTAATTAACATTTAATTTTCAATTAGATTTTTTGAATTTTTTCACAAATTATCCATTGAATGTTTCACTTTTAAAAACAAAGTGAATAAATTTTGTATGCATTTTAGAAAAAAAAAAAAAAAAACGAGATACGCAATACCAAATAATTCTTCTCACCCGAATATTACATTATACAACTAATTGTATATGATAGTCACTTATTTTTTTTTTCTCACTTTCCGAATAAAATAGCGAGATAGGCGATCAGGCCATAAATCAAAATTTAAATTTTATTAATTTTAAAGTGTTATTTTAAAAATGACCAAAATTTTGAGTTGTTACAATTTTGAATCGATCGAGCAATATTTACAAATTTCTATATATGCATAAAATGATTGTATTTAGTTTATTATAATTTATGTAATATTTTATTAATATTATTTTGTAATATAGTTAAATTTTATGTTAAAATGTTATATAAATTATTTTGGATTGCAAATTTTTTTATTATCTAATAAAAATATTGTATATTAATTGTCTTTCTATGATTTTTAATAAAAAAATAAATTATAAATTTGTAATTTTGAAAATTTTAAAATTACTTAATTTTAATTTGCGCACATTTAATAATATTTTTAAATAATTTTATATAAAAATATTTTTATACTCAAAATATGTATATGACACTTTAATATTAATTGTAAATGAATTGATTAAAATAATGGCGCTGATGGCGCTTACTTCTTACTGAAAAAAAATTGTAATTCGATTGAAATTGAAGAATCGATATTGAAAAATTATTAAGAATCGATATTGATTTTTTTTTTAGATTTAATTAAACTTTTAATATTGTTAGATAATAAGAATAATTTAATTAAATTAAAGTTATTAATTAAATTAGAATATTAGTCTTAGAATTAAAATTAAAAAATGGTAATTTTATTATTTTATATTTAATAAATCTTATGTATGAATTTTTTTTTTTTTTTTAAATTAAATTGATGTTGACAATAGAAATATTGTCTACAATTGTTATAACCATAGAGTAATTAAATAAATTAGATTATAATTGTTTAATAATAATTTTAAGAAAATAATAATCAACATTTAAAATACGTACAACAAAGAAAGCTTTTGTTTTTCTTTTTTTTTACAACACTCATTTTATATATTTAAATACATATTTAAATTATAATTAAAAAAAAAAAAAATTTAAGAATATAATGTAAGAATATTTTTTTGTTTTTTTTTTTATACTTACGGCAATATAATGAATAACATAGATAATAATTCAATTTTCTATATAATTTTACATTGAATGGTCTAAGGCAAACAAATAAGCAAAATTGTAGTAAGTTAATTAATAATCCTGACACAAAAAATGAAATTCCTATTGATAAATGTATCAGTCTTGATTTTTTGAGCGTTGACATTAGATTATTACATGTTGTGCAGCTCATTTTTAATTATAATTTTTCTTCTTTTTAATTTTCAATATATTTTTTTTTTTATATATTAAAAAATTTTACATATAAATATATGTAAAATAAATAAAAAAAAAAAAAATCGTGTATTTTTGTTCTATGGCTGAAATATTAAATATACATTAGGTATATAAAATATATATGTTGGTTGGTATATATAAAGTATTATATAAATCTGTAAAAAAACAAAAAAAAAAAAATTAAAAAATTAAAAAAATAAATTAAAAATATAATAATATTATGTAAGCATATAAAAATTTTATATTCAAAATTGCAGTAATATAGAGGGCGAAAATTCAGCAATTTCTTAATTTATGAGCTGAATTATTTATTAATATTAATAATCGAATTACTGTAATTTTGAAGTCAGTGTTATTTAAATATAGAAAAAATTTTAGGTTATATAAATATTTTTATTGTTTTTAAAAATTTAATTTACTTCTTTTTTAAAATAATAAAAAATATTTAATTTTAATTTTCCGCAATAATTAAATTAAAATTAAATTCAATGCGATGGTCAATGCGATTTCTATAAAATTTATTTGTTCATTAAAAATTTCACTTCAATTACTTATTTAAAATTATTATTTTGTTATGAAAGACTTTAATAAATAAAATAATAGAATTTTATTTAATCAATTTAATTCTATCTAATAAAATTTAAAGATAAGATAATTATTAAATTATAAAAATATTATATATGTATTTAAGATTGTAAAATGACTATCAAAGAGATTATCAAAATACAAACGAAGATTATTGATAAAAATGCAATTCGAACTTTGAAAACTGAATTTATAATGATCAAAATAATAATTTAAAATGTTAATTAATATCCAGTTAGTGATTAATTACGTCAAAATGAATTTAAAATAATTGTTCATTTCTATTAACAATTCAAATAAAAAAAAAACAAATAAAGTTCTTAAATGAAGACTTATAAAGGAAGTAAAATAATAAATAAAAAAATTTTTGGACTTTGGTATTTTTTTTTTTTTTAGATTAAAAGACTTTCATTTCATAATCTATAAAAGTAATAAAATAAAAAAACAAATTTCAATTAAGAGCTCATATCAATTATTTGCAAATATTGTGTTTAGATTGTTGATTATATTATTTACATATGTATACTTATGTACATACTTTTAAATTTATTTTTTAAAAAATAAAGCTTCTTTCATTTGAAAAACTCGCAAAAATATATTAGGGGGCTTGAGCTTAAACTTAAAAATCTTGTATTATTTAGTACTCATGTACTTAGATAATTCTTTTTATAATTATTGTACTTGTATTTAATATTTTATTTGCAAAAACTTTATTTATTAAACATAAGTTAATCCCAAATTATCTTTAATTTGAAATTATCTAAAAATATTATTAAAAATTTTTTCATATTTGAATGTAATAGTTTAATATTATCAATTTTGTTTGTGACAATTGGAATTTATTAATATTACATTACTTAACATCGATTAATAGTAAAATAAAAATTTACAAGAAATTCAAATTAAAAATGAAATATTATATAAATATTCTGTATTAAATTAAATCAGTTAAAAATATTATTATTACCTAATTCTAATTTTATAATTAATACCCCTTATACCATTGATAATATTGGGAATCGTTTAGCAAATATATACATATAAACATATTAAATTCAATAGATCTGATTTCAGAATTAAAATTAAAATCTTAATAGAATTGAATTCTAGATTTTTGAAAATTCAATATTCTCGACTGTTATAGTGATAAGATTAAGATAGAATTGCTCTGTGCTGTAATTCAAAAAGTTTGATAATTTCTTTTTCCTTAATTATTATGGTCTACATAATCTTGTTAGCATCTTGTATATCAATAACAATAAAATTTGTAGACTATGATCCTCTATTTCTTGCAATTAGTTTTTTTAATTTTACTCTTTTATTTTTTGATTTACAAAATTTTGACGAATAATTATTAAAACTCATCCGATTGAATAGTTATTTTATAACAAATCAATATTTATTAAAAAAATTAAGACCGGAAAATTTGACTAAAATGAAAAATTTTAATTTTTAACAATTGTTTTAAATATTGAACAATTTGGTAACCCTAATAATAATTTAATAATTCGTGAACGATAAAAAATAATCTTAAATACCAATAAATTTTTATTATTTTAAAATTAATACTAGCTTATTAGCTTGTTTAATAAGGAATAAACAGACATGTTTTTATTACTCAAGTATGTACAAATATGCATTCGCGTTAATAATTGGTTTTAAAAATAAAAAACATAAGTACATTTAATAATCAAAATAAAAAAATTTAGTTAAATACGAAAAAAGGGTTTTAATAAAAGTTTAATTAGAATTTTTCGACTGTATGATTATATTTTTATAATCTGGTAGTATTAAATGTTAAGTGGCAGTAGATTAATAGACATACTAAGAAAACTTTAACCATGAATGTTATTATACAATAAAAAAGCTTATTTAGTAATAATTTAGAAATACATGAGAGTTAATTTAGTTTTTTAAATATATAATTTTTAATTACCATAAAATTTTAAAGTGATTTAAAACAAAAAAGACAATGTTTTTTAAGATTTTTAACTATATTTCACTTTATTAAAACTTAAAATATCTGTGTTGTTTTTTTTTTTTTTAGTTTTTATTTAGTTAATTTATTTATATTTATTTTATTATTTTACTTACATTTGTAATTACATTTTAAATATTTTAATGAAACACAGAATTTCAGTTTGTATAGTTTTTTTTTTTTTATGGATTTTCTTTACATATTCTTCTTTTATTTAATTAAAGAATTTTATTTTAATAAAAACGAAAATAAAATCGAGAAAATAGTTAAAAAATAAAACAAATAAGTAAGTAATACCAAAAACTTAATTTTTCTTTTTTATGGAAAGTATTTTTAAAATTTTATTTAAGAGAAAACTAAATTTATTTTAATTAAATAAATCAATAAATACTCTTTAAGATTTGGGATGTGATGTGCTAAAAAAATGTGTTAAAATTTATTTATTTCAAATTATACTTATGTATCATAAATATATTTAATGTATTTATTTATTTATTATTACAATATTAAATTTTCGTTTTGAGAAAGATGTTTTTTTTTTTTTTTCGGCAGCATTAATTTATTATTCTTGATTTCAGTTATATTATAATTAATAAATTATAGTATATTTAATATGCTAATAAAATGAAAATATTTCGCATCATTTTTATTTTTCATTTATAATATTTTTAAAAATTAAAAAGGTCGAAATTTAATGACATTCGCATTCTAATTGAAAAGAAACTACTGTAAATTGAAAATGTTAAGTTTTTTTGGAAAATGACACTAAATCGTCGAAATTTAATTTTCTTTTTACTAAATCTAATTCTTTTATTTTTTTAATATTATTATTTTGCGCAGTATATTGTTTTTGTGCAATTTAAAAGTAGTAAATTGTATTTTGAATTCTAAAATTAATTTAAATTAAATTTTATTGTCTTATAAGCTTCATAAGATAGCTTAAATCACTAGGTAACTTTTATATTTTTCAATATGAATAATTTTATTTTAATTTTAACAAAATAAAAATTTCTTGAATGCAAAATTATTTTAATCAATTTGTTTTTTTTTTTTAAATTATGAGTAATTATAATTTGAAAATATGTATTTGAAATGAAGATTATTTTTGCTACATATTTTTTAAAATAAAAAAATTTTAGTAGAAGGAAAATGTTATTTTAATTGAATATATGCAATAATTTGAAAATATTAAATTTTATTAAGTATATTTTTATAATTGAAAACTATTTACAAAACTCTACAACAAAAAAAAACTCAAACATTTTAATTAACATAAATGAATTAAATTAATTTTAATATTTTTAAAATATAATTTGAAATCTAAATAAATAAATAAATAAATTTAGATTGAAAAATAATATGAGTAGGATGAGATATGAGCTGCAGATAACAAGATTACAGTTATCATTGTGAAGTCATTCACTTGATATTTAAAAGTATGTATGTTATTGTTTTTTTAATGAAATTTATTGTTATATTTTAAATGGATAATTTAGATTTTTGTTTTTGTACATAATAATATTAGGAGAGCATATCTAAATTAATATTTTCAAATATTTTTAAATTATAAATAATTTTATTTTAATATTATTTAATTATTTTAAAAAAATTTTTAAAAGGAGTTTAAGCTTGCATAGAATGTCTCTTGTTACTCGTATTATTTATTTACATACTATATAAAATATGTATAATAATTAAGTTTTAATATTGAATATTTGTAATGTATTGAATTTATTGTATTGAATTGTAATTCAATATAATATAATATGCATATGCATATTTAATATTTAATAAAATACTATATTTATGATACGAAATATTAGATAGTTAATTTTTTTTTATTTCTTGTTTTTCATAAATTAAATTAGATGTAGATTAAGAAGATAACTATATAAATAGCTATATGAAAAAAAAAAAATCAGAAAGAGGATAGAATATTTAAAATATTAATTCAGTTTTCTCTTAAATGCTAAAAGTACTTTAAAGCCTTTTATTATATATATATATATATATATATATATATATATATACCATATGTATTTATACATATGAGTATACATATATACATACAGATATATTAATATAATTTTAAAATCTATATATACTTAATTTTAATACATTTTGTTTTATAATTTTTTTTCTCAATTTCGCTTATTTTAATTTTCACATATTTATTTAAATTTTTTAATTCTTATCATTTATTACATATTGAACTTCAAAAAAAAAAAAAAAAAAAAATTGTTTTTTTTTTTTTGTTTTAATTTTCAAAATTTTTTAATAAAGAAATAAAAACATTGTTATTTACATTATTAACTATAATATTTTTAAATTTTTTATATATATTTATTTATTTATTTATTTATTATATTTATATAATATTATTTTCACTCTTAAATTAATATATGTAATTTTAAATTTATACTTATATAATTTTGTTTTATTTTGTTTTTTAATATTTTTATGTCAAAACTTAAAATTTAAAACATAATTTTTTTTTGATTTAGAATTTTTAAAAAAATTAATTATTTTTTTTTTCCATATATTATAATAAATATATATATACATGAATTTCATATATGTATTTATTTTTATATTTTTCACATTATAAATTGCATGACTTAAATATAATAATAATATGATAATAATAAAAAATAAAAGGAGGGTCAAATTTAATACAATAAATTTATAAAAAAAAAAATCTTTGAACTTAAAAACTAATAAAATAATATGCTTATAAATTAATTGTATATTTATATATATATATATATATATGGGTTTATATAATAATATGTGTTGTATGTTATGTATATATTTTAATATGCCAAGTAAATAAAGTTAAATTAAGAATATTATAATAATATATAAAAGATAATATAATATACTATATGATTGCAAAAATTTTAAAACAATTAATAAAAAAATAAAAAAAAAATGTATGTATCTGATTTTTATTTTCTCTCTCAAATTTATCAATATAATATAATTAATATATGCTTTAATAAAATACAAAACAAACAAAAATTTAAAAATTATATAATATAAATTCTTAAGTTGATTGTTTTTTAACTTTTTTTTTTTGTTTTTATTTAATATATATATATATTTTTTTTAATAATAATGTAAATATTTATAATATTTTTATTAATTTTTCTTTTCGATTCCAATTAACTATTAATTTATTAAAGAATTATTGTATACTTATATTTTATTCCATATTAATTTTTTTTTTATTTAAAATTTAAAATTATAATATAAAATATATTCAATACATTAATAATAATATTCATAAATGATTAATATAAATATATATATATATATTTATTTTATATATATACTTTTATGAACAAATAAAATTATATGTTCATATAAAGAAATATGCAATAAAAATATATAGATATAAATATATTAATTTAAAATTTTTATAATAATAATAATTAAAATTAATAAAAAATAAAAAAGAAAAAAAAAAAAAAAAATGATTTAATGAATTTTTGAATTATTTAATAAATTTCTTTTCTTTTTCTCTCTTATTTCTTTTAATTTTTTTTTTTTTTGCTTCATTTTTTTTTTTAAATTTTTTTATTTTGTGAACGCCAAAAATACAGCCCATAATATTTCATTTGCATTCGGTTTTGTTGATTCCGTTTCAAAATCTAAATCCAATAATTCTCTTACACGTTTCATAGCAACTTCATAATCATCATCATTTAATGGTGCAAATGCATTTTCTAATACATCACTTGTATGTGCTAAAAATATTAATGCTAACATTCTTTTATCCATACGTTGTGGATCATTAATCCATTTTGTTAATACAGCATCTTGAATTTTTTTAACTAAACGACATTTTGTAACATTATCACTTAATGGATGTGTTGTCATATCAAATAATAAAAAATTTTGTTTTTCTGTTGTTAATACACCTTTTTCAACTAAATTTTTTGCAAGTCTTTCACGTACATTTTTCAATTGATAACGTAATTTTAATGGATTCCATGTTTCACCACTTAAATATTCAATCCAACTTTGAACTGTTTCTGGTGGTTCAGTTTCTTTGATATGTTTTAATGCTTCATCCAATAATACATCACCAGTTAATGTTTCACTTTTAATAATTACTTTACGTGAACATAAACCACGTCTTCTCATACCAGCACTTTCTAAACCAATACGTCCTCTAATACCTAATTCAATTAATATGCAACCACGTAAACCACTTGATAAACAATCATTCCAAAATGATGTATAACCTTCTTTATCTTTTAAACCTAATAATAAAACTTCTTCCATTAATGTTAATCTAGTTTCTTTTGAATCATAATCTTCAATATTATCATCATCGTATTGTTCATTACTGTTTGGTGAATTTAAATTATCTTTTGTTGAATTTGAATCCGAATATTTATCATTTGATTGATTTGATGTTTTAACTCTTCGTATAAGACCATCCGTTCGATCCATTTTTGTTTTTTCCAATTGTATATAATTTCAATTTATTTATGTGTATAATATTTTTTTCGTCTTCTTGATTTAATATATTGTCGTTTAATTAAAAAACAAAAAAAAAAAAAACTTTTTTTTTATAATTTTAATTATTTTGTATTTTTAAGTTTTTTTTTTTTTTTTCTTTGTTTTTGCAATTTTTCATTCAAAGCTGTTATATAGAAGATAAAAATTTTTTTTTTGATTTTAATAACATAGAAAAAAAATTATTTTAACAATTTAAAAATAAAGTACTTTTAGCGTTTAAGAGAATTTCGTTCGCTGTACGTTTTACATTTTGAATGATAATGAATTTTTTAAATTAATTTTAATATTTAAATGACAATTCTTGGACAGTTGCATGCATTTTAAATAAATTCTGATTTTTGTTTTTAATTAATTAATTAAATTTATGCTTAAACATTTTAAAATTAAATTTTGTTTAAATCATCTGTTTTGATTATTTTAGCCTATCTCTTTCTTGTTCGCATCATCTAAAAGACCTTTTAGCACACCTTTCATTCATAATTATTAAAATAAAAATACTAAGATATTTAAATTTTTATTACAATTATTTTGAGATTTTTTTTTTGTTAACACCTAATGGATTAAAATTATAAAATTTTTTATTTATATGTAGAAAATCAAATTAAAAATCACATTTAAAGTTGAAATTATGGAAAAAGAAATAAAATAAGAAAAAAACAGGAAAAAAAACAGAAATACAAACTCAAACAAAATTACAAAATTTCTCGTAAAACAGAAAGGAAAAAAAAATAGCAAAAAAAAAATTAAGTAATGATAAAAAACTCAAAAACTACAGAAAAAAAAATAATATTAAAAGTAAAAGCAAAAAAATAAAGAAAAAACAAAACAAAATGAAAACAAATCGATTTCAAAATGACGTTTTGATTATTGGTAGATAGCGTAGAACGCAACGATTACCGCAACGCACTGTCTTTTTTTTTTATTTTGTTCCTAAATTTCTAAAAATTTTCACAATTGGAAATTTTGAAATTTCGTTTTAAGAATTATATTTTTAAATTAATGATAATTTGATAAGTCGAGATTCCTAATTCGAGATCATATACATAAAACATTGTTCATATGACATATTTATAATTAGATTTGATTAAAATTTAACAAAATTGTCGAATATTCGTGCAAATGTCATTACATTTTAATCGAACAGAGTTCATAAACAAGATTTTCGATTTTCGTAAATTTGTCGTCAAATAAAATGTACACACGCAATAAATTTTGAAAGTTATGAAAATATTATATAAAATTTCTTGAGGAATTGTATGGAAAAATTCAATATAATAATATTTGTTATATACTTAGTATATAAGTTTAAAACTAATTAAATGTCAAATTTAGTTATGTATCTAAAATTTCATAATTGAAAAACATGATTGAATAATTAGAAATTGAAAAGAATTAAAGGAAATTTGTGTATTTTATAAATTTTTTTCATTCATTATTTTATTATATCTATATATATATATATGTGTGTGTGTGTGTGTACATTTTAAAGAAGAAAATATAGTTTATTTATTTCTCAAATAAGTTTCTACATAATTTTACAAAGAAAAACAAAACATGATATTAATTAAAAAAAAATAAATAGTGTGTCTAAAAGCGATAAAAAATTTTTGCTTTTATACTGTAAAAATAAATAAATTTAATTTTAATATTTCTATAAATTTTTCTTTAATGACTTTTCACTTAATTTTACTTTTAAAAAAAAACTTTGAAAATTTTTAAATTATCTAAGGATATTGATATTAATTTTAAAAATAGAAAGAGCTAATAAGTTTAAATGCCTTCTCGAAATGTGTTTTTCTTTTCAGAACACTTTGACGTTTTGTAAATTAATGCTCAGAAAATATTTACGTACTATAAGAGAAAATTTACTCAAGTGTAGTAAATATTTAATATTAGAAACTAAGAATATGTGTCAGAAGTAAAAACTAAGTTGTAAGGGTGTCAGAAGTACAAACTAAACTATAACGGGGGGCAATCACCTATTGGTTAAACTTTATAATTACTTTGCAATCAATTTTAATTGAGAGAATTGTTTTAGTCAGGGATTAAAAATAGTCAGGGTTGTCTGGCAAATAACTTGGTGGCAATTTGACTTGCTAACATAATGAATTTCAAAAATTGTAATACTTTTATTATTACTCGTATTTCTTAATTAAACTGAAAAACAAAGAAAAAAATACAAATTATTAAAACTGTTGTAAAATTAATTTGTACAGTATTAATTTATATTAAAATCTCAATTGACAGTATATAGTGTAATAATAATACTTCATATCAACATGCGTAACACACATTAGAAAATAAATGCTATGATTATTGCATGAAGAAATAAATTTTTGTACTTAAATTTATTATGAATAATTTACGGACATAAAAAATAATAATAAAATCAATTTAACGCTTATCAAAAGATTTTTATCAGATTCGAGAAATTTGATCTGATATATGTATGTATATTTATTATTATTAATTTGAAAAATAAATTTTATTATATGAATCATTCATTTGCATTAAATGTGAAGGTGTAATATGTTTATGATACTTTTATGAAGGTAAGTATACATACATATGTGCATTGTACGTCATACTCATACTTTTATTTTTTTTTTACAGACAAAGGAACTCTTTATTTATAAAATCATATTTCAAATTCTTATAAACAGTATGACATGCAAATGGTAACAATACTGTATTACAACTATGCAATTAAAAATATTAAATATTTATTAAATGGTATATATAATATTTATGAAAGCTGAATTTTCTAATATTATCGTGACACTTGTATATTCTGCGCTATATTCTGTGAGAGTTTGTGTTTTTAAAAATCTCTATATTAACACGATGGGATATGGCATGGCAATTATGCTATTAAATAACACAATTGAACAAATCTAATATAATTTAGGTGGGAATTTTAATATTTTTTTATTAAAATTATATTAATTAATTTCCTTGTTATTGAATTTAATTTTTAAATTTTAATTAAAATATTATTTATAATTATAGAATGAAAGTTATACGAAATATAAAAATATAATATTGAATTTCTTCAATAAAACAACAAAAATCAAATTAATTTTAATTCAAATTAACATTTTTGCCAATAAAATTTTAATTACTAAATATAAATAAATTTAAATACAGAGACATATGAATATGTTCAAATACGAAAAATAAGTAATTATATAAAATAAATCGATTATTGTTTAAATTCAAAATATGTAATTATGGATCGATATGAACAATATATTTAAAAGTCGATTGTATATAAAAATAGATTAACATGGTTGATTATTGAGTACAATATTACATATGCCATTATTACAAAGGTTATCGACTATCGTCTAATACGCTCTAATAAATTATTATACTTTAAAAACATGTTCTGCATATACATATAATATGTATTATATATGTACCGCTAATTTTGACCCTAAATTTATTTTTAAAACCTTTATACAAGCTACAACGTAAATAATTTATAATAAGCCTATATATGTAAATTTCAACAAAACTTTATTAATTTTATTTTATATTATAGAACTTAATTAGAATGGAACAAGAAAAAAATTTTAACATTTTATATACACACATATGCACAATCCACGTATATGTATGTATATTTAAAATAAATTATATTTTTCTAATATTTTTCCAACAACTTTAAATACTTGTTTATTAAAATGTTTATTAAAAAAGTATTGTGTAAAATGTTGATATTTCGTATTCAACTCCTGGGCATTAGAATAATCGAACAAGACTATTTAAAAAAAAAAAATAATTATATACCATATCAGAATTGATTGAAAAAAAAAAAAAAAAAAATATTATAGTAGGTGTGTAATTGACCTTGAATTACATTCGATTGCATATGTGTTTGTGTACAATGAACAATTCATAAAATTAATACAAAATTACACATTATAATATAGCAGGTAAATACAAAATGTTTATTGTACTTATTGTCAGGGTGGCCATTCAAGAAAAAAATTTTTATCTTAGAAAAATTATCTACTTTGTTAATTTAAAGTTTTTATATCATCTACAATTAAATACAATAATACATTTTTATTTTTTTTTTCCAATTCGCTGCACCTTAACTTATAAAACAACAATTTGCAGTTAAATCATACGACTTATAAGAATGGGCGTATTTACTAGTCTCTGAAATACAAAATATTTATTTGCCAATACTATGAAATTAACTGAATTGAAAAAGATTGAAGGCACAAAAAAAAATTCAATTTTAAAAGAAATATAATAAAACGGCAACACTGTTTCTTATTGTACCAAACTAAATAATAGAATAATTCGATTTAAATGGTATGTACTCCTAATTATTAATGGAAATATTTTTATATTTAAAAAAAAATTGATTTAGAAATTGATATTAAATAGAAAATTTCAAACTAAATTTTGAAGATATTTTAAAAACCATATGATTTAACATTATTTTATTAAATTATTAAGTATAAATAAATTTCACACGTCTTATGACTTATTATAATATTGAGTGAATATGCTGATGAATCACAGAACAGAATAATATAAAATATATAAAAATATTGCGTCTAATATCAATATATATGTATGATAATTCTTAAGAGAGTATAAAAATGAATATATATTATTTGTTAAAAATATAATTTTACATATATAATCATACAATTACAATTATGCAAGAAATACAGTCACGTAATACAGCAGCCAAGTCCAGTAACACCCTACTTTATAAACTATTATTTTATAATTTTAAAAATAATATTTACAAGCTCAAAAATCGGCTTCAAAAAATGTGTACATTGTATGTATACAAAATTTATCATTACAAATTCATTTATAATGTAAGTGCATAAAAGATAATTGATCACCTGTGAACCTAGTCCTCTCACGGGTGAAATTTATACACTTACAATAAAGAACAAAAGTATACTTAGATATAGTTTCTTAATATAAATTAGTATGTATAATAAAATATTATATTTAAAAAACTATGACGGGATATGCGCATACACACATAAATGTACATACATATATCACATGGAATGAATAATTTAATATATGTATAACAAAAAAAAGTCGTAATTTTAAAATTGCAATCTTTTGCAAAAAAAAAAAAAAGTACATTTTAAAAATTTTTAAATGACTCAGAAAAAAAAAAACAAAAACGAAAATTTCCTTAACAACTTTATTGATTTAATAAGTAGGGAAATTTTTCAGTAAGTATCTGAAAAAGTAGAAATTAAAAATTCACTTTTCTGCCTGTGAATAAACTATATTAATTTCTTAATTACGACTATACTAAAAATGTACATGTGAGGGCATAAGAAGCTCATCGCAAATAGGTTCGAAACATAATTTGTCTAATTTTAATTATAGGAAAAATTTGAATATCAACTAAGTAATAAATTGTGTTGGGCAATAAGAGTATTGATTATTCACCTTCGACTGTTTTACAAATATAAATACAATAATTATATGTGGTATATACCTACATACATACATTCAATTTCTATATTTCCTTAAAATTTAAATATCCTTCTTGTATTGTAATTGTTTGTTATTTGACCACAGAATTAATTATTGTGATTTTTTTAATTTTTTTTTTTATTTTTAGCACAAATTAAATTTATATATGTATGTGTGTATGCATATACCAAAAATTTTTTTAAAAATTTTATTTGACTAAATATTTAGAATAAAAATTTCACCTTTTCATATAGAAATTTTAACACTTTTTGTTTATAAATATTTTTTTTTTTTATATTTGCAAATATTTCGGCACTATTTAGACAATTACTGCTATTGTAAAATTACTATTGATTGAAATTTTATAAGTATTTATTTAGTACATATGTAATAATATTTTTGTATTCAGTGGGTATGTACACAAAAATTTATTAAACTAGGTTAAAATTTAAATTTAAAGGCAACAGAAAAAATTTTTCCTTATTTTTTCAATTTTTTATTAAAATTTTTAATTAAATCAACTATTTATTTTCAACACAACAAACTTTTATAACATGTAACTACGTGTATGTAATTGAAATTGCGTTTAATTTAATTATCACATACAATGGATAAGGTTTCCACACACTACAGTACAGAATATTATTAATTTATCCGCATATGATTTGTGCCGCACGCGATCCAGAAAATTTACTGAGAAAAAATCATAATGCACTTTATTACACTTTTAATATAAATTTTTTTTTTTTGAATGGCTAAACAAAAACATGAAATAATCCTGAATTTTTTTTTAAATATTTTGCCTTTAATAAAGGTAATAAGGTCGTTTTTAATTATTTTATAATTTATAAACCAAAATAAATTCTCTTAATAACTTTTAGGCATGACAATTTTTTTTTTAAAATATTAAAAATTAAAATTTTTTTTTCATATTCGTTCAATCTTACGTAAGTTTAAAGCTCGACTGATATAAAAATTTGATCGGAACTAGTAACAAACCCAATATAATAAAAATATATTTTATAAAAATTAAAAAAAAAAAAAAGAAAAAAAATCAAATAAATAAAAATTTTCATACAAAACAAATCAGAAGAAATAAAAGTAAAAAAAAAAAAAATAAAATTTCTCATTCGTTTTTGTTGTATATTTTCTTTCGTAACGATCGTCGTTTTACACAATTTCAATATTATAAAATAAATAATATGCTATTATATATACAGTAGGGACCTAAAATCCATGGTAATAAATTCTTTAATATTTTAATAATAAAACAAAATTATTGAGACTCTTAAACAGTTATAAACGAAATTTCGAATTTATGCAAATACAAATAAAAAGTAGACAGAACAAGTTTTGTGATTAAATGAGATTAACTGTGATTAAATGTGATATTTGAAAATTGAGTTCTAACTTAGATCTTAACATAAAGCATGTTCGATTAACTAAAATTACATAATCTTAAAAAGTAGCATGCTCAATAAATTTTTAATACAAAAATTGAAGTACAACATGCCTAAAATTTCTAAAATATTTTTAAAGTTCAGACTCAGATTAAATTGAAAATTTTGTATTATATATGTAAGTAGTGCCGAAATTTGAGAAGTAAATAGAGAATAAATTTAAGATTACAATATGATTATGTAAACTATCAAAAACCAAGCGTAACGGCTCGTATAACAAAATTATATAATGAAATATGTTTCTAAAGCTGTCTTTAGAAACATTTTGATTTTCTAATTTTTTTTTCTGTTCAATACATGCCATCGAGAGTATTTTCAAAATTTTTACTTCTCTACCACTGTATATATTAAATTATTTAGATTATTTTTTGAGGCTCCGGTTGCATATACCTTTTTTTTCGCTACATACAAATGTATGTCTCTATTTCGTTACTTAGTAATCGTTTATACCAGAAAAGATGCCGGTCTAAAGTTCACATATCATATGTAAATGAAAAAAAAATGTATATGTATATTTTATATTCAGACATGATATATTTTTTTGCATCATATATTTGTAGGTACATAAAATAAATATTTATTTACATACGAGTACATATGATAAAAGGTAAAGCTTAGTATACACTAGATAGCGATATACCTTGAACTGTTATATAGCGTGAATAAGTTCTACATAATTAAAAAAAAAAACGTGACTTTTCTTTATTTAAAACGACTATATACCTGCATAATAATACAAATATGGCGAATTTAAAAAAAAAAATTAATATCTTTCTGTGCTATTATTTTTGAATAAACAGATGATTTCATTGTGTTAATATAGAACAAAAGTTTAGGTCATTAAGAATTTTTATTTATTGTAGTAATTTCAAAAATTTCACATATTTTGAAAAAGCTTTTATATAACATAATTTTTGTACTAAATATTGTATATTAATTAAAAAAAATATACCATAGACAGAAGAATGTTACTAAGAAACGATTTTTAAAACTGGTTTTAAATTGTTACACCAGATAAATTTTAAAAATTGGCTCCATTTAAATAATATTGACGTGACGTTGTTCTGCCTAGGTGTAAATTTTATGATAGTAGTATGAAAAAGAAAAGTTGCCATCTTTTGGCTGCTTGCTGAATTAAAATTTTACCTGTGATTATAATATCAGTTTAAAAATAAAGTACAAATTCAGAATATTGCGTGTCGCAAATTTAAGAGAAAAGAAGAAAATTCCAAATTACATTTTAGAGAAAATATTTTTGGAATTTATCAAATTTATATTTATTTTAAATAAAGTTGTGTACGTAAATGAACATACTCACAAACCACGTAAAACTAATAAAAATTTTTTGGTCGAATTAAATCGAAACTTAAAAAGAATAACGAATGATATTAAACCATGAGTGTTTTAAGTAGTGACATAAATTATTTTACGAAGAGCAATGAGGATTTAAATTTTAAGCAGAAACAATATTGGAGTAATGATATATACAGTAATATGTGTAAAAGTAGCAGCACTGTTAAAACTATAAAACCAATAAATTTTAAGATTTTTTTAGAATTTTTAAGAAATTTACAAGTCTTGCTAAATATTAAAAATGAAAATCATACTCTGGTAGATGTTAATCATATTCAGTTGTATATACGGGCATCATTTTTACAAGTGAATAAATCTTATAGCTTATTTACCTATTCTGGAGAATCGAAAAAAAATCAAAAACTTTCACATAAAATTTAAAAAAATAACCTTGAAAAATTATAATATAAATTGTATGTAAATCTGCTTATGCGCCTTAAAATATAATTAGACGCGAATACAAGAATGAAGAGCTAAAAATTGATTTCAAGTAACTGAAAATTTGAAACCATATATACAAAATTATATTAGGCATACTATGTAGGTACTTGATCTAAAAAGCCTTGATCTTAATTATTTATTATATTTAAAACTAAACTTAAAACCAGTAAATTGTGTAAAGCTATCTTAAATACCGTAACTGGATGGATGTACATTAATACATACATACATATTAATACACAAATCCAGTAAACATGTTCCTACTTTATCATTTCTTTAAAATTTTTTTTTTTGGTGTTGTATGATCACCATTATTCGTATTGAGTGCTTGTGTCCTTAACTTAAAAAACAAAAGTGTATTAACATCTTATTTATGTATTACTGTTAAAAAGAATTATGTTTGATTTAATTTGCAATAAGTAATCAAAAACAAAAAAAAAGAAGAAGAAAATGAATTAAATTAAAAGAGAGAGAAATCAATGACTATATGCACACATATCCACATACATGTATTTTTTATCATTTTGTATACATATGTCTATTAATAAAATTATTTGTTAACAAACTGTCCACATAAATGTATGTATATATGAGTATTTGGGCATTCTACATGGTGTCAATAATAATATTTGAATGTATTCAGTATGAAGAACGCATAATGTGCAGTGGGTTGTTAAATGCACATGTAAGTAATTTTTGCACATACACACATTGAATATATTGTATATAAAAAAAGTAAAAAAAGAAGGAAAACAAAATACACTTTTCAAATATAGAAATCTATCGGTATATTGTTAAAATTTTCTAATAGTTTCTTTGGTCTATATATACAATTTTATAACAGAAATTCATGATTGCATTGCACATTATTGAGAACATATTCAATATTACTCAATTAAAAATATAAAGAAAAAATTTATCGAAAATTTCCTGTTTTTACTTTCTCTCTTCTATTGTTCTACACCGTTGTTTTTATACATATATTGTTTTAATTTTTTTGCCCCCTAAAATCAATTTAATCAATTAAAAGTGTCTGTTTTTAATATTCAATAAAATTTTAAAATAGAGTTTTGAAATCAGAATTTTTCTTTACATATTCTTAATATTTTATTAATAACGTATTTTATTAAAGTGAATTTTTTCATACACTTACATTTTATGTGTCAAACTGACGTTACTTGTAACAAATTTATGTCAAATTCTTAAAGAATTCTTATTATTATGATTAGTATGACTTACAAACAAAAATATCAAATTAAATATTAAATTTAAGAAAAAGCCAATTGTATTTTTTATATGACAAATTTAAATAGAATTAGTTTGCATGATATACTATGGTAATACTTTTATGCACCAACATACATTTATGACTACATTTACTCAAGAATATTCACATGAAATTTAATATTTAATCGGTTAATTTTGCATGCACACATTACTTTTCTTTTTTAATCTTTTCTATCTTTAAGGTTTATAGTATAACCTTAAGATAGAAAAAAATAGGTAATCGTAAAACAACACTATTTCAAATAAAATATAATATTATGTGTATACTAGCACTTTTATATTGCATGTTTCATTTTTTATATGCATACACACATAAATATATTGTGCATGGAGCTTTTCTTTTGTTCTTTATTACATTTTAACGCTTAGATATTAAATTTCTTATTTGAATTCTTATAAAGAGAAATGTGAAGGAAATGAATAGGAAAAAAAATTCCAAAATGTAAACAAGAACAATGAAGTAATAATAAAGTAAACTGTCAACATTATTTTGTGACAAGTTAAATGTCATAAATTATAAAATTTTAATTATTGTGTTGAAAGAACATTAGGTAGATATGTAAAGGGAATAAATAATAACTGAGCTTCAATTAGTGATGTGTAAAAATATTATTTACAAAATTGAACTGTTGAATAAGGTGGAAAAGTTCCGGTGACTTCATATCAATGTTCATTGGAATTTTCAATGATCTAAAATTAATGAATTTATCTCTTTCTAATTGTAAAATATAATTTTAAGCAAGCTCTAATATAATTTTTTAGAAAAAGGTGAGTGTAACAAGATATTTTATAAAAACTGAAAAAAAAAACAAAGTTCATTCAAACTGGCAAATATCCAAATTTAAGAAGAGTTGCTGTACTGTGTTTTTTGATTAAGTCAATCAATTGCTTAATAAAATTTATTTAATTGTGAATTAAGAAACATCTTAAATTGAAAAATGGAAGATTAAATTAAGCAAGTGGAGAACAGGTTCTCATTAAATCATTAATCAATTTTTAAAAATATTTCAAAATTTTTATAAATATTATACAAGATCAATCAACTAAATTAGTCTTTCCGATTTTATCATCTTAGCCTTGTTATTCAATTATAATTAAATAATTATTCACAATTACTATAATCAATAATTACATAATTATTCACAATTTTATCTTTTTTATTTTCAATTTAATTCTTTTTTATAATTAGTCTGTTGACATAATTGAGTGGGTGCCGATATTTTTAAATTCTAATTAAACATTATTATTTTTAAGGAACATTATAATATACTAATTTTTCTATTTTTAAATAAAATAAAATAAAATAATAATTATCGTCTAAAATAATAATAAATGC